GGCTGTAGATTTATTGCTCCTCTCTCCCTCTGCAAAACAGCCCTTTAGGTCCTATATAAACACCAGCCTAACCACCATGCACTGCTTTGGAAATATCTCTGAATGGGAGTAGCAGAACGGTGAGTGAAAATGTTCAAATTTCAAACTTTTTTCAATGAAATGTTTGAAATGAGGAAAGTGGCTTTTCCCCCCACTTTCCTACACATCAGGAGGCAAGGATCACCTGCAAGGCTAAGGCAGCTAGACTGAGCTCACCTAATCTGTTCCCTCCCACTGCAGGGGCAGCAGGTGTGGAGGCGTGTTTGTACAAGGTTATTATTTAAAGAGGCTCCCACTTAAGGACCATAGGAATTCCGAGCCATGCCCTGGAAGTCGAGGGTGAAAACACGATCTGGCAGCATGCAGCAGTTCACCATAGACACTCACTGGTTCCTTTTAATAAAAGTTTTGTTCCTTTCTCACTCAGTTGTTTGGAGTAGAACAAGCCCCCCAAGACATCCTATGGGAACGAGAAGGAGACTGCAGCAGTCATTTTGAGGTTAACTCCTGTGTTTGAAACTGAAAGGAGAGGAAAGGGGAGCAAATGGATCTGCAAACAGAACAGAAACAAAAGCCTTTCAATGTGTTTTATAAGCACAATAGCAGCTTGACAAGCTTAAGAAGGGAAGGAAGGTCAACATGGATATTTCACAACCTGCAAATAGTCTGTGACTGTCAGGCGATGGTGCAGTACATAAGTAAAAAACTCTGACAGAGATTTGAATTGTATTTAGGAGAAAAATGATAGAGTGAAATCATCCATCTTTTGCATGTTTTCGGGGAGGAGACAATGGATATTTATAACACCTTTAATTTTATTGAAGGTCCCAATCAAAATGTTAAGTAAATATGAGGAACATTGCATGCCAAAAAGCAATGAGACCTTTGGGAGACACTTTTTTACATGCATGCAAAAAATGTATGTGACCATGGAACAAGATGTCACAGGAGAATCAGTGAAACCTGTAACTTTACTGGTGAATTCACCAGAAGGAGTTATTCACATAGGGCATGTCTACACTGCAAAGTTAATTCGAAATAACAGCTGTTATTTCAAATTAACATGCAAACCGTTATTTCAAATTTAATTTGAAATAGCAGAGCCCTTAATTTGAATTTGGTAAACCTCATTCTACAAGGAGTAATGCCAAATTCAAAATGCCTATTTCAAATTAAGTGCTGTGTAGACACTTAATTCGAAATAGGGGGCCTCCAGCCCTTCCCAGGGAGCCCAGATGGCCACTCTGGGCACAACTAGGAAAACTTACTCTCCTCTCCCCTAGCCCCAGAGCCATTAAAGGGGTTCACCCTGGCCACAGTGCCTGTGCCAGTTCAAGCCTGCCAGCCCAGAACTAGCAGTGGCCACCGGAGCCTCTGACCCAGCGGCCCCAAAACATGAGCCAGCAAGCCACTGGCAGCCAGCCCTCCACCGCTCCCCAGGAGCAGTCTGCCAGCTCCCAGGAGCCTGACAGGGTGGAGATCATGGACTTTATTCAGGTTTGGGGAGATGCCTCCAACCTCCATGATCTCTGCACTAGATGGATAGCTGCCAGCCTGGCCACCAAAGGCCACATATGAACCCAGGAGCAGGTTGGCATGAAACTCAAGTTGGTCTGGTGTGGCCCCCAACCCTGAGCCCTGAGCTTCCTCTCCCCCTTCTTCCCCTTGCTTCCTCCTTCCAGCTCCTTCCTCCCAGGTTTTCCCCTCCCCTCTGCCACCCTCTCTCTTGCCCTCTTCTACCTCCTTTTCCCAGTCTTCCCAGAGGTTCATTCCTCCCCCCAGTTTTGTTCAGCAAACCCAGTTTCTATTTTTGAACATACGTGTCTTTTATTTGACATCAGTAAGGGGGGCTAGGGAGGGATAAGTGGAAAGATGTGAGGGAGGAATGGGGCATGATCCCGCGGTGGGGAGCACTGGGGAGTCTCTGAGGGCTCCTCGGGGTGGACACTCTCCCACAGGGCCTCCTGGATCCTGACAGCCCCCTGATGAACCCTCCAGATGGCAGCCTGCAGCAAGTGCTACCAGGCTCTTGGCAACGACTCCACGAGATGCACTGGCATGCCCAGGTGCAGCTCTGGCTCCATGTGGCCGAGTGCTGTGGTGTCCCTAGTGCGGGCACTCAGGGCACTCCAAGACAGGACTGCTTTGCTGTCCCTCATCAAGGTAGACAAGCAAGTGGGGAACCCTGAGAACTGTCTGCCCTGGTTGGAGGTAGGGTCCCTTTAAGCATGGAGCTCAGTTAGCCTCAGGCAGCAGCCCCACACGCTAAGTCCTAACCTGATGCCCTGTCGGCACTGGTTCAGGCCAGCCTTAACTTTGGTTCAGGGTCCACTCAGTGTGGATGCGCTATTTCAAAATAGCAAAATGCTATTTCAAAATTGCTTTTTTGCATAGATGCATTATTTCAAATTAGCTTAATTCAAATTAACTATTTCGAATTTAGATAATTTGAAATAGCGCTGTAATGTAGTCATACCCATACTAAGTACAAAAGAAGATAGTCTGAAAAGATAAAAGATAAAACCAAACAGTTGAAACACCCTCTATAAATGCTAGCAGTGACACTGAGTACAGACAATTATATGAAATGTGTGTAGCACACCATGGCCCAAACCAATGTTTAGCTCTTGGGAGACTGAGTCATAAATGTATGGAAAATAATTATTTTGCAAAATTCAGTGGCTCCCCGGTGCAGAAAAGTTAAGTGCATTCAGCTGAAGACAAATTGTTTGAGAAGTTTTACACAGATGTACTGGGGTCAAGCAAACCTGAAAAGAGGGACTGGATTCTGCCTCCAAAAGTGAATGAAACAAGTATTCCATTCAGACTGGTTGCAGGAGCTCAGGTTATGATTGTGTTTGAACAAGATTATGAACAACTGAAAGGAAGACCAACCAAAATAAAAGTAACTGTTTTTTCCGGAATGAATATACCAGTGAAAGGGAGGTGCATTCCTAGAACCAAATGTAAAAATACCACATACAGGCTCCTGTTTATCGTAATGCCAAAGTGACACTCATTTTAGGCCTGTCCACCTGTGAAAAACTAGACCGGGTGCTCTCCGTACAAGGTCATACTGAACCTGGCTATGAGACAGTCATATAGGAATATCCTGGTCTGTTTTAAGGGATGGGTCACTTGCAGGGTTAACATATGACCCAGATAAACAAGCAGGTCCCTCCAATTATCCATTCCTAGCTGGCAGGGTGGTGAAACACTGGAATAAGTTGCCTGGGGAGGCCTGTGGAATCCCCATCACTGGAGATACGTAAGAGCAGGTTGGACAGACACCTGTCAGGGAGGATCTAGACCCGCGATTCTCAACCGCTGGTCTACAGCTGGCTGTTCCCTGTGGCTCAGCTCTGGCATCTGTGATTGCTCAGGCAGCGGCAGGAGGAGGCGGAGCAGCAGGCACCTCCCTCCCTCTTCCCCCCTCCACACTTGGGGAAGGAGGGAGTGCAAAGAAGGGAGGAGGAGCAAACCCTGCCAATAGCCGCTCCCACTGGTGGCAGAGACAGAGCAGAAGGTTCCTCCCCAGGTATCCTTCTCCCTCCCCCCCCCCTCCCATTCAGGCACCCCCGGTTGCCAGCTCCAGG